TTCATAATTCCTGCTATGCAATCGAAGCTTCTTAAGCGAATTTGGTTTTTTGCTTGACTCATTTGCTTCACAAACAATTTTTCATTGCTATACCTTCTTGGGATTTTATTAAATTTCCACTCGGTAACTTAATTTCCATTTACGCTAAATTAATCAATATTATAGAATTTGTATGTATCGTTTGATAGGTATTTATGTCTATTGTAGCAGCTACATTCCATTCCATTTGAATGCACTGCATTGCACTCTACTAAACATTCTACTCGCAAGTCAGCATATTTAGCAATTTAAGTAGTTGCCAGGCACAGCGCGCAGATGTTAAAAATTCAATTTATTCAAAGACCAATCAATACCCGACCAACAACACAAAGCAATGAAGACTATGAATATCATAAGAAATCACCAATCGCTAGCCAATACTTCTATGGCAAGCCAATAAGGTACAGTCAATACATACTTGCTTACAAGCAGATGTGCAAATATACTTGGGCAGCTGGCTGGCTACTCGAGTGTTTTTTGCAGTCATCCTGTGTAGTTGGGTTGTCAGCAACCGGCAGACAACAGTTCACTAAAATGTCTCACTTTTTTCTTCTTGCTATTTCATTGCACTCCATCAGTTTTGTTGCATTTCACTTTCGAAGGGATTTCAATTTTCTAACCACTCGCTTGTCATTTTATTTGCATTTGGCAGCTCAGAGGCGAAGCAGCATATTCATACGTAAATATGTATTTATTGGTTGCTGATATTCCCAAGCAGCTGGAGGACGATTTTGTGCAATGGACAATGCATTTTGCTTTGTCATCGTATTCGATTAGTTCGAATGTTTGTTCTTTTAGATTAGCGTCACGGATACACAATTTGGTTATGCTGTTGAATGGTCAGTGTGGATTTTTATTGCACTGGAGTAGATTCATTTTATTTTTTAAAGTTTTTTATTATAAGGGAAGGGAAGGGGAGTTTTTTAAATAACTTTCAAAGTGTATTCTTTTACATCTGTAAAACTGCAATTATTATTCGATAATGTTCGATTTAGAGAAAAATTATCGTACCGCCTAATAACACGTTAAATTTCATACAAAACTGATTTCATCCATTAAACAGAAGATCTTCGGATCTAAGACTATACGACTTTAAAGATATTTTTTGTATTTTTTAAATATTCGTAGACAAATTATTAAGATTTAAAAAGGTTTGATACATTCTCTGTATATTCAGATTTTTTTTTGATTTTTTCTGGACTTTGTTTAATGATATGCACACATATATACTTTTCGAAATCCCAAAAAAATTTCGGAATTTTCGTCTTTTTTCAGTATTTCTTCGAGACAATTCGATGCTTTTTGTGGTTTTTAATTAATTTACAATGAAATCTTGGATATTTTTTTACTAATTAACGATAGCCTTACTGTTTCCGTTTTTTTTGGACTTTTTGAAATCTCCTAAAAATTTTTTTCGAAAATTTCGTTGGGATTTTCGAACGTTTTTCGTAATTTTTCTTAACTTTTCAAGAGATTCTTTTGAGATATTTCAATATTTGTAGCATTTTCAGGGATTTTCAGGGATTTTTGGGCATTTACGAGAATTTGTAGGCACAGTAAAACACTTTTCAAAATTTATTAAGAATATTTTTGGGTATTTTGTTGATATTTTTTTCAAATTTTTTAGGATAACAGAGTCCTTGACATCACTTTCAATAATTTCAATCATTCTCGGTATTTTCCGGCATTTTGTAGTTTTCAAAGTTTTCTTAGTATATTTTTCAGTACGTTTGTCTGGTTTTCAGGATTTTTTTTCTAGACATGTCTTTGTGACTTTTAAAGAATTTTCCACAAAACTTTAAGTAGTTTTCTTTGGATTATTCTCGAAGTTGTTCGGGTTTTTTTTAATATTTTTTAATCATGCTTGTGATTTTACCCGGATCTGACGGGAATTTTCGGGATTCCTCGTGACATTCCATTACATTTGTAAATTTTTATGCGACTTTGAAAAAATTTTCTTAATTAATTTTTGGAATACTTTTCAGCATTCTCAACATCTTTTGGGACTTTTCGGGATTTTACGTGACTTTGCATTTATAGTCGGGACTTTTAGGCAATTCGCCTATGATATTATTTTCAAAATTTTCTAAGCACTTTTTTCGCGATTTTTAGTTTTTGCGGCACTTTGTTTTGAAATATGTCTTAATTTTTCGCAGCTTTTTGTAAATTTTGCTGAGTGCTGTTTTCTGTACGCGTTGTTTTGTGTCTGGTTCCGACAAAAAAAAAAAAAAAAAAAAAAAATATTTTGCCAGGAATTTTTGGGATACTTGTGAATATTCTTGAAGATTCTGCGAAAATTTAAAATTTTTGCTATATTTTCAGGAATTTTAACGACGAATTGATAACGTTCTCATTTTTTTAACTCCGTTAAAAAGGAATGAATAATCTTTACAAGTCTATTTACAACCAACTATTAAAGGGTTCTACCGAAACCAAAACAAATTTGTATTAATCACATTAAAATCACATTAAAACTTTCCAACAGAGTTTTTTTCTCTTTTGTCTGGCCTATATTTATGTATTTGTATAGTCGTTCTGACCTTTGTTTTGTAGCATCGAGGCTTGCCTGCTTTCACTGCATTATATGTTGACAGTAGGGAGTTGAATCAAAGGTTGGCCCAGTTTCGAACAGCTCCTGATAAATATTTTTTCCAATGCCAGCACACTACTTTCGGTTTTGACACCGATTGTGAAGCTTTTCTGGCCTTGAATCGCCACCTTTCTGTGCTTATTTGTCATCATTTGATTAAAATGTGGAATATACATACAATTTACAATACTTTTTATTCGTCGTCAACTTAAAAAAAAAAAAAATACTTGAGATAATGGATCAGAGCTATAAATATGAATTTGCAACAGTGATGCAAAAAAATTTCCAGAAATCCTCCTTTAATAGCATTTTTTAGGATAATACCCATATATGTATATGTACATACTTCGATTACTGACTTACAAAGGAATTCGAGGAAAAGCTGTCAATTTATACGCAGAATTACCGAAGCTTTGATTTGCTGGCAGCTATGGCAATATTGAGTTAATTTTTATGTACTCTGTTTTTGTACAACTTCCAGGGAAAATGGGGGACATTGGAGAGCTTCCAAGAAAAATGGCAATTGGGATGGTCTTGCAAAGCCTTTTAAACTCAGAAGCGGATACAAAAACAATGGCTCATTTATGTATGTGCGTTTAACAGAAATCATTTCGTTGAACGGCTGTGAAGCTACATAATTGGAAGGGGAAGACATTGCGTGGTATGTGCGCTTGAAGGAGTTTATCACAATGACCAGCTGTCAAAAGCAGCTGATCGAAAGTATTTATGCATGTAAGTAATTCTAAGAAAAACGTAATGTAGCCTTATTGGCTTAAATACTGACTCAAGTGTCACCATTTTTTTCTAACTTTGCATATATATGTAAAAAGAGTTTTATCACAGAAGCGTTAATAGAATTAGGCCAAGCAGCGAGAGATTTATGCATAAGAACACTTCTTCGAATTAGAAAGGTCAAATGGGTCAATATCTTGTACTGCAACCAAATTCAGTGGTTTATACTAAGAAAATTGATTATTGATGAAAGCTAATATCTAGTAAGACCTGTAGAAGTTGAGAGCACTATAATTGGTTGCGAACCGAGGAGTAATTAGTTTGAGCGCCTTCGAACTTTATTATCGGATGCTGCCGTTGGATAGCCTATTATGCTATTATGGTGTCAGGAAGCGGTCTAAAATTGCGCTTCCTATAATTGTTAGCTGCTCATAGCCGATGCCGAAATCAGTAATTAGCATTCTCACAATATCGACCGCCACAATTCTTTGATTTGGGTTACCTCAGTCGTACATACGAGGAGGATTAAAGTTTTCATTTTTATGAAGTTTTCTCGTGACAATTTTAATGTCACTCAACTCAGCAAAAGGTAACCAGTTTCCAAAGCGTTAGTCTTCGTAGGCCTTGATAGCAGAAAAAGGAGGAATATTCGTAACTGTGGCTCTCCGCCAGCTCCTGCCATCGTTCTTTCCTCTTTTTTTCCTCTTTCCGGTAGGTAGGGAGTGTTTGGTATTGGCTGTCCATACTGTTACCCCAAGTCAAACGAATAGGCCCACTTAAGATGACTTGTGACGCAGAAGTCTCTTGCTATGGTCCATTAAATATGACCCGTTTTCAAGTGACCAAAATGTATGTCCTGTTTTTAAACGACCAAAAATTTATAGGAAATATTAAACGAACAGAAATTTATGACCTCTAAAATGACCGAATTTATGTCCAGTTTTTTTATGACCAAACTTTTTATCCGATTTTAAATTGCCAAGCACTTAAAAAAATGTTTAAATAAACAAAAATTTTAATATTATCACATTTTACATCTACTTTTTAAGGAAATGCAATTTTATGTTTCAAAATATTGTATCCAATTTTTAGATGTTCTAAAAATGATTGCGAATTTTAAATAGCCAAAAATTTCTGCCTATCTTTAAGTGACCAAAAATGGATGACCAATTTCTAACGACCTAAAATTTATGGAAAATTTTCAACGAAAATTTATATGTCCTGTTCAAATCATCGAAAGTTTTAATCGGTTTCATAATGCCAAAAAGTTTCATGCCTAAAATTTTGTGTCCAATTCTTAAATTGCAAAAATGTTTGCCCAAAAATGTATGTCCAATTTTAAATAACCACAATTTTATGTCTAGTTTTCAAATGACCAAAAGTTTTTATCCTATTTTAAATTGTCAAAAATTTTAGTCCGAAAATTTCTGTGCAGTTTTTTAATGACGAAAAATGTATACCCAATTTTTTATGAACATTTGTCTGTTTCCAATTTAGCTAAAAAATTGTGTATGCCCATGTTATAAATCACCGAATATATATGCCAAGATTTTCTTGATAAAAAAGGTGTGTTTAATTTAATTTGTCAAGCGCTAAAATAATCAACTAAATAGGGTTTATAAAAGCGCTTTCAACTTACTGCGATGGGCCTTGTCTGTGGGATCTCTGCGCAATACAATTCTTCGTTTCGATGAGCAAATAGGACCCGAGTCCACGTCGTGTATGACAATTTTAATAGCTTCGCCATCCATCGATGTTTGACGCCGAGGTGCCTCCAGGTCCTCCAAGTTTGGGCCAGTAAAGGCGGCGAGTGGAGGGGGTATGGTGGCCGGCAGGTTGGTTGGTAAAGCACCGCGTTGCTGTAACGCGGCCAAATCAGGGCTGCGAGTAAAGAATTCGATAGAAAAGCGATTAGAGTAAGTAACATTGGATCTGAGTTAAAATTTGTATTTCTTATCCAAGATGATTAAATTTATTTATTGCTGAGATCGAAAGGTTTCCACTTACAGCTGTGATCCACGCCGTCGTATGCGCCTGTCGTCGTCCACCGTTAGCACTGGGCTGCCCTTGTCCGGACTTGGCGACTCATCGTTCTGCAAATCTTCGGAAGGATGCGGCACACGGAAGGAGGGCCGCCGCGAACCGGGCAAAGCAATCTGAGGAGACATGCCATCGCCAGGTGATCGTTGTAGCTGTGCTGCAGTAGCTGGCGCCGCACTCTGTAGCAGATTTGGCGCAAAGACGTCGTATGCGGATTTTCTAAAGCGCAAAGGCAAAAGGGGAGGAGAAAACTTGAAAACTAAATGGCCGCAAACACTTAAAACTCCCCAAACTAACCTCCTCGGCATTGCTGGTATGCCGAGTCCGGGGTCACCGCCCGCCATGCCCAGTGCACCAGCCGCACCCAAAGCGCCGCCCGCGCCAGCCGCCGCTGCCATGGCCGCACTATTCATGTCATCGTCATAGCTGTGCTGCCGCGCCACACGCGAACCCCGCCGCGAAGCAATGCGCGACAGGGGCGGTCCAAAAGGCGGTTGCTGCTCCAGATCCGCCTGCCGTGGCGGGCTCGACGAACGACTCGGCGCCATGCTGCGTCCACCCTTGCGAAAGTCCAAATCACCGCCCGGTGTTTTATTGCCCTTCAACTGCGTTTTGCATTTTCAGGTTGTGGGTTGGGTGTGGGTGTGGCGTGTGGTTATCACACGAGAGTGGTGTGTAGCGGCCGCGCATCAAATTGCGTTATTTTGTTTGTTTGTATGTAATCGAGCGAAGTTACGAAAAGTACAAAGAGTACGGAAGGTACGGCAGGTGAGTGAGGTACGGTACGGTACGGTACGTCTTTCGCGCACTACACGCCCACTCTTTTTTTGCACACGCACCCAAACGCAAACACAAATATATAAACACAAACTAACAACAACAACAACTAAATATTGAACTCAAAATGGCGCAAAGTAAAACAAAAGCAACAACAACAAAACAAAATACGTAAGCACAACACAGCAGCTGCAG